CCGCGCCCGGCTTTTTTTTTTTTCTTGAGACAGCTCTGTGGCTTAGTCTGGAAGGCAGTGGCACATTCTCTGCTCACTGCAATTTATGCCTCCCGAGTAGCTGGGGTTACAGGTATGAGCCACCATGCTTGGCTGATTTTTACATTTTTAGCAGAGACGGAGTTTCACTATGTTGGCCAGGTTAGTTTTGAGCTTCTGACCTCAGGTGATCCGCCCATCTTAGCCTCCCAAAGTGCTGGGATTAAAGGCATGAGCCACCCTGCCTGGCCTCCAATTTTTTTTTTTTTTTTTTTTTTTTTTTTTTTTTTTTTTTTTTTTTTTAATGTGGAAAGCATGTACTTATGTGTAGAAATTCCTTTTCATGTGAGCCTACAGTATATGGAACATTCTTTTTATTTTCAGACAGGGTGTCAAAAATATAGTGTATATTTCATCACATAGCCTTATTATGTATATATATAAAACATAATAATATACCCACAAAACCCTCTTCTACACAGAGAAAACTCTTAATACTTTGGGTATGTTTTTGTTTGTTTGTGTGGTTTTTATTTTGTTTTGTTTTGCTTTAAGACAAGGTCTGGCCCTAGGCCCAGGCTAGAGTGCAGTGGTGCCATCCCAGCTCACTGAAACCTCCACCTGCTACTTCAGTCTCTTGAGTACCTGTCCACAGGTATACACCACCACATTCAGCTAACTTTTGTATATTTCGTACACACATGCTTTCGCCATGTTTTCCATGCTGGTCTCGAACTCCTGAGCTCAGGTGATCCTCCCGCCTTGGTCTCCTAAACTACTGTGTTTAGTAGTCTGAGCCATGGCATCCCACCCGTACTTGTGTATTTCTGCTGAAATTTTATTGAGGAGCATTTATGGCATAGCCTGTGGTCTATCCTGGAGGATGTCTGTGTGTGGGACAGTGTATATTGTTCAACATCTTGGATTCCATTTTGGATGCTCCCATTGGGACTGTGTCCCTGTACTGGAACTCAAGTGAACATGCCTCAGTATCCATTGCTGTTCTATAGAAATCCTGCCCAATTCTCTTGGGAAAATATAAGATATGTCTAGTAGGCATTGCTGTTTCTCTTCTGAGACAAAACTTAGGAGGATTGCCCCTTGATGAACAAGGCCAACCTGCTTAGCCTTTGAAGCATGGAACTAGAGATGGTCCTTTTAAGGATTTATGTTCTGGGTTCCAGAAAACATGCAAACAGGGCTAACGAATGTGTCTTTATTTTTGCTTCCATTTTCACCTGGTCAAGGAAAATTTCAACAGAAAACTGAGAGTGCTGCAGCAAGATCTCATGCTGTGACCCTCCAAAGGAAAGCACTTTCTGTTAGAAAGAAATGATTGTGTTTTCCTTTAGAGTGTTGCCGTCTGAGAAAATCAACATTGAACTTCTGGCTGATCTTGGTAATACATTTGCAGAGCGTCCTTGTAATCAAACTTGGATGATATTGAGGTTCTGTTTTGTTTTTCTTCGTGTTTTCTAAGATAGGGTCTCTGTTGCCCAGGCTGGAGTGCGATGGTGCTATCTCAGCTCACTTTGGCCTCCGCCTCCCAGATTCAAGCGATTGTCCTGCTCAGCCTCCTGAGTAGCTGGGATTACAGGTGCCCACCACCATCCCCAGCCAGTTTTTAATTTTTTTGTATTTTTAGTAGAGATGGGGCTTCACTATGTTGGCCAGGCGGTCTCAAGTGCCTGACCTTGTGATCCAGCCACCTTGGCCTTCCAAAATGCTGGGATTGCAGGCATGAGCTACTGCACCCGGCTTTGTTTGCCCATTTGAACCTGGTAAAGAATATTCCACAAAAAACCTGGAGTGCTAGAGCAAGAAGATCTCATGCAGTGATTCTCCAATCGGAAGCATTTTTTGTTGTTTGAAATAAAACAAAGTGCTTCCTTTTAGAGAGTTACTGTTTGAGAAAAACAATGTTGAAATTGATGCTGATGTTGGTAGTACATTTGAAGAGCATGCTTATCATCAGACTTGCATGATGTTGGCTTGTTTTGTTTGTTTAGATTTTTCCCGACACAGGGTCTCTGGTGCCCAGGCTGGAGTGTAGTGGTACTTCCAACCTTGATCTCTTGGGTGGTCCCCCCCCGCCACTTTTTTTTCTTGAGACAGATCTGTGGCTGAGTCTGGAGGACACTGGCACATTCTCTGCTCACTGCAACCTCGGCCTCCTGAGTAGCTGGAATTACAGGCGTATGCCATCATGCTTGGCTAATTGTATTTTTAGCAGAGACAGAGTTTCACCATGTTAGCTAGGTTAGTCTCAAACTCCAGACCTCAGGTGATCAAATCGCTTTGGTCTCCCAGAGTGCTGGGATTACAGGCGTGAGCTAACCTGCCCAGCCTCCGATTCTTTCTTTATTGTGTGCTGCCAAACCAAGCACTTACGTGTCAGAATTATTTTTCATGTGAGCATACATTAAAAATAATTGGAACATTTCTTATTATAATATGGAATGTTCTTTTTTTTTCACGCAGGGTCTCAAAAATATATGATGTATATTTCATCATATATTCTTAGCATACATTTAGTATAGTCATATACCAACAAGCAGTCTTCTACACACAGAGAATAATTTTATATCCCTTTGGGTATTGTTTTTTATTTGTTTGTTTGTTTGTGTGGTTTTGTTTTGTTTTGAGGCAGTGTCTGGCTCTGTCACCCAGGCTGGAGTGCAGTGGTGTCATCTTGGCTCACTGTAACCTCCACCTGCCACCTCAGCCTTCTAAGTCATTGTCTAGAGGTGTTCACCACCACTCACACCTAACTTTTGCATTTTTTATACACACGAAAAATGTTTTACCATGGTACCCATGTTGGTCTTGAACCCCTGAGCTCAAGTGATCCGCCCACCATGACCTCCCAAAGTGATGCATTTAGTGGTGTGAGCCACCGTGCCCCTCCTGTACTTGTGTATTTCTGTTCAAATTTTATTGAGGAGCTTTTATTGCATAGCCTGTGGTCTATCCTGGAGGATGTTTGTGTGTGCAACAATATATATTTTTCAACATCTTAGATTCCATTTTGGCTGCTTTTATTGGGACCGTGTGTTCCTGTGTTGGAACTCAAGTGAATACTTGGCTCAAAATCCATTGCTGTTCTCTAGAAATCCAGCTGAATTCTTAGTTAAATATAAGGTATGCCTAATAGGCATTGCTGTTTCTCTTGGGAGACAAAACTCAGGAGAATTGCCCCTTGCTGAACAAGGCTAGCCTGCTGAGCCTTTGAAGCAAGGAACCAGAGATGGTCCTTTTCAGCATTTATGTTGTGGATTCCAGAAAACAGGCAAACAGGGCCAATGAATGCATCTTTACTTTTGTGTCCATTTTGACCTGGTCAAGGAACATCCAACCAAAAATCAGTGGTGCTGAAGCAAGGTCTCAGTCTTTAAGCCTCTAGAGGGAAGCACATTCTGCTTTCTGAAAGAAAAGAAAATGTTTCCATTTAGAGGTTTACTGTTTGAGAAAAGCAACGTTGAAATTGATGCTGATCTTGATAATACATTTGTAGAGCATGCTTGTAGTCAGACTTAGATATGGTGGGGTTTTGCTTTTGTTTTGTTTTATTCTAAGACAAGGTCTTTGTTGCCCAGGCTGGAGTGGGTGGAGCGTCCAACCTAGATCTCTGGAGCTCAAGTGCTCTCCTTTCATTTTTCTTTTTTTCTTTTTTTTTTTTAAATTAAAAATAATTTTTTTAATAAAGACGGGGGTTTCACCATGTTGGTCAGGCAGGTCTTGAACTCCTGACCTCAGGTGATCTGCCTGCCTTGGCCTCCAAAGTGCTTGGATTACAGGTGTGAGCTACCGCGCCCGGCCTCATTTTTATTTTTGACAAGGAATCTCACTTTTGTCGCTCAGCCTGCAATGCAGTGTCACTGTCTTGGCTCACTGCAACCTCAGCCTCCTGAGTAACTGTGATTACAGGTTCATGCCACCACGCATGTCTTATGTTGTATTTTTCTAGAGTCAGGGTTTGACCACGTTGACCAGGATCTACCCACTTTGGCCTCCCAAAGTGCCAGTATTGGAGGTGTGAACTTTCACACCTGGCCACGTCTCTAACTTGTCTGAACTGAGGAAGTAATCTATTGCAATTTAGTCTGAAATGTAATGTTTAGCATATTTGCAACCACCACCATTCTAGTTTGGGAGATTTTCATCACCCCATGGAGGCTTACTCCCATGTGTAGTCAGTTCCCTCCCCACTCTTCCACCCAGACCCTGCAGCCTCTCCTCATCTCTCTAGCTCTGGATCTGCCTCTTGTGGGCATGTCACCTAGACCAGTCTTAAATGGGTGGCCTGTTGAGAATATGGGTGGTCCTGGTTGTCTGCAGTGTCAATCTTACCACTGAAGGGTGGTTCCTGGAGGGAAGCAGGGGGTTGGGAGAACTGGGCAGAACATCCTTTGGGAAGGGAGTGGGGTAGGCAGAGCCTGATGTCTGGGAAGCTCACAAGGGTGGCAAACCCCATGTTCCTCCCTGTGAACTGCAAGGTGACCCTCCTGGGGCACTGGAAGGAGTGAAGGCATCTGGACTGGGAACAGTAGGGCACTGCAGTGGTGCAGGCAGGATGAGCCGAGGGGAAAGGAGAGCCGGGCATTGCTAACCTCGGACAGTTTGGGTTTGATCTGGACGGAGCAAGTGTCTTCTGGGAGAGAGCCCTGGGATTTTCGCTCTGCTCTCTGGCTTTCAGTCATGGAATCTAATGACAACGATTCCCACCCAGGGCCACTTCATTTGGTTTCTAGAGCCCAGTGGTCCTTCCTGCCTGGAGTCTGGATCTTTTTTGGAAGCTTGGGATCTGTGAGGGCGTCTGCATAATCCATAGAAACCCCTAACAGTCCCTTTTCCCCTGGCTGCCATCTCCGTGTTCCTACCTATTACCTTCCAAAGGAGACCTTTAACTGAATTACCAAAGGGGGTTTCCCAGGGTAGGGAAACCCAGTTAAATTTGTATTTCAGAACAATAGTGTATTTGAGGGTTACTTGACGTAGAAATGATTGGCTGTTTGTTTAGGTGTGGGCATTGGTTTTTCCTAATTAGAGGTGTGACCCACCGTACCTCACCCATACTTGTGTGTTTCTGGTCATTTTATTGAGGAGCTTTTAAGGCCTAACCTGAGATGTATCCTGGAGGATGTTAGTGTGGTTGGCACTATATATTCAACATCTTAGATCCCATTTGGGATGCTCTCATCGTGACTGTGTGTCCCTGTAACGGAACTCAGGAGAACACTTGGCTCAAAAATCCATTGCTGTTCTCTAGAAATCCAGCCCAGTTCTCTTGGTTAAATATGTGGTATGTCTAGTAGGCATTGCTTTTTGCCTTTGGGGATGAAACTTAGGAGGGTTGTCTCTTGATGAACAAGGCTAACCTGCTGAGCCCTTGAAGGAAGTGGAGATGGTCCTTTTAGGGGTTTATGTGCTGGATTCCAGAAAACAGGCAAACAGGGTCAATACATGCA